CATAAAAGAGGAATTTTCTGATCAAAGAAAGGCCTCCTTCTTCTGCCACTGAAGAAATACCAAATTGATAGTAACAACAGTAAAGCAAAAATTAGTGTTTAGATAGGAAAAGTTCGTCTTGCTAACCATGCCGGGAAGGAGGGATAGACAAAAAACGAACTGGAAAGACCAAGGTTATAAAAACTGAGAGAAATGGGATTCACCGGCAAGCTGATGTTGTAATCTTGATAAAATTTGCAGATAAAAATGATAAGCATTAACTCTGGATTAAATTCACGTCAAAATTCGCCAAATGTATTGATTCTGACCTCGGAAAGCGGCTCAGTTGCAGGATGAATGAGAATTTGCCCGTCTCTGATGCGCTTCAGATGATTTGCTTCAGATGGCATAGGCGGCAAAATCTGCAGCAACGGACCAATTGTGCATTTGTCCTGGACAGCTGCGGTATAATATTCGATAAGTGGCAATTGTTCGCGAACAATCTCTTCTCTCAATATGGCCTGAAGTTCGAATCTGAAACACAGCACCAGTCAGAAACTCACTCGAAAAGAATCGTTTGGGAAGGCAATTCGAGTCTACAGAACCACGATCCAAAGAATGCCAAAAAAGAGCACCATTAATTCGAGAAATGTCGAACTGGAAGCACCGTGTCCACTTCTTCAAAAGCACTTTGTGGCAACTAGTGAAACACGGATATAGAACGTGGCTATCAGCGAGAGCAAAAATAAATAAATAGCAATGCGCACCCGACTAGCCGCTGCGATCATGCGTTTTGTGCAATTCAGCCCATCGAACGATCGCTTATTAATGATTTTCACTGCTTTTTACTTTTGTCTATGTAAAAATAGTCCAAAAATTGGAAAACAGTTAAAAATTTCACGCACCAGCGCATGAAAGCTGAATTCGAAACCTTGAAGGATGTCCCGTGATTCCCTAGGTAATAGTTTAGCCGCCAAAATTCTCATGAGGCCGTAGGTGATGCTCAACAGCGAGGGAACGCTGAATTTGAATAGGTAAGGTTGAGCGTGGGCAGGGAGTTATTGCCCTAAACTTTCAGCTTCCTAGACCCCGTGGTTCCCGAGACAATAATTTATCCGTAAAAACTTTCGCTAGCCCGTAAGTGATACCCGAGAGCGCGGGAACGCTGAATTTGAATGGGCAAGTTTGAGCATGGGCAGGGGGTCATTATCCCAAAATTTCAGCCTCCTAAACTTCGTGGTTCCTGAGATATTGATTTACCTGTAAAAAAGTTTCACGGGGCCGTACGACGGGGAACACCATACCAAAATTTCAGTCTCCTAGCTTTTGTTCCCTAGTTAAAAGTGGGGAACAAAATGTGGGACACATACACAAACACACACACACAAAGACAACCCCGTGACAATATGCGTTTTTTAACGCTGTTACACAGCACAAAACGCATAAAAACGCTGGCTGTGGCGGAGATTGCGAGACAGTGAAGCTGGCTTGGGATGCCTCATATCGTAAATTCAAACATTCGCTCCGTTATAAGTGTGAAGGAAGTCGTTGTAAAAAAAAGAAATCCGGGATTGTTAATCGCTTTGTCAATAACCAGTGCCCACTAAGTGGCTTATGGAGAGAGGGGGGCGCACATACATCGAATACCTTTTCCGTGGGAATTAAATGAAAGTGTGGAGATTTGGATAACGAAATCAATACAGTCACTTGCACCTATTAGTCGGGCCAACTAGTACCGTAACAGGGCATGAGCACCGCTGTTGCAGCACTAGCCCGCTGTTGATTGCTGTAATAACAATAATAAATTTTAGATGGCAACCTTCGTTTCCGGGGTTTCTTCTTGACTATTCGTTCCTCTGTAACCCAATGCGAACAACCAGCCTCCTCTTCCTCAGCATATGTCATCCCTGGAATATATACTACACATCCAGCTTCAATAAATATAAGACTTAGTGATTAGAAGTCCCTTCGAGTCGACGATCACATAAAGATAGCGTATCATCGGAAAAAACCCTTATTATGATGATGCCGGAAACACGAAATTCCAATTCCATCGAAGGGCCATTTATCAAGAAATGAAATGAAGCATGCTAAGAAATAATTAAATGAAATTGTTGATAAGGGAATGACCAAAAATTGTGTGTGTATGTGTGAGATATTGAATGGGAGGGATGAGAAATGGGCTATGTAGCTAAATTATGGAAAATGAGGAGAAAAGAGGTAATGATTAATCCGTAAATGTAGTGACTAATACTGACCAATGGTAATAAATAGCAACGAGCACCAGACTAGCCGGTGCGATCATGCGTTTTGTGCAATTCAGCCCATCGA